GGAGGGGCGCGACGGGGCTAGGAGGCGCGACGGGGCTAGGAGGCGCAACGGGGCCCAGGAGGGGTGCGACGAGGCTAGGAGGCGTGACGGGGCCCAGGAGGGGCACGACGGGGCCAGGCGGGCGCGACGTGGCCAGGCAGGGCGCGACGAGGCCTAGGAGGCACGACGGGGCCCAGGAGGGGCGCGACGTGGCTAGGAGGCGCGGCGGGGCCCAGGAAGGGCGCGACGGGGCTAGGAAGCGCGACGGGGCTAGGAGGCGTGACGGTGCCCAGGAGGGGCACGGCGGGGCCAGGCGGGCGCGACGGGGCCAGGCAGGGCGCGACGGGGCCTAGCGGGCGCGACGGGGCCTAGCGGGCGCGACGGGGCCTAGGAGGCACGACGGGGCCCAGGAGGGGCGCGACGGGGCTAGGAGGCGCGGCGGGGCCCAGGAGGGGCGCGACGGGGCCCAGGAGGGGCACGGCGGGGCCAGGCGGGCGCGACAGGGCTAGCTAGGGTACGGGCGGAAGCGGTAGGTGGGGGATTCTAACCTACGCGTGATACCATGTTAAAGTAAGAACTGAATGATGAACTAGAAGGAGAAACCTAGAACAAATACTAGTTGGTTGTACTCACTAGAAGCATACTCCAGTCTAGCCTATAACTTCTACATAGCTAATATGTATAAGTTGACACTACGGGCCGGGCTGGCGCTACGGGTCGGGCGCGCGCGGGGGCTAGGTAGGGGGCGAGCAGCTAGGGCGCAAGCGGAAGCGGGTGGGTGGACCTAACCTACTCGGGATACCATGTTAGAATGCGAGAATAATGACTAGTGTGAGAAACCTAGAACATATACCTGTTGGGGTTGTACTCACTAGAAGCACACACCTATGCTAGCCTATAACTTCTACATACAGCATATGTATATGTTGACATATCATCCGCTGAGACGAAACTTACGAACCAGGCGTCATTGGCCAATCCCTACTGAGTGCTGTGGTCTGGGCCAGTTTCGTGCCGCACCTGCGACCGTCAAGACCTGAGAGGATTTCGATCGGGAGGATTTTGATCGTCAAATTGTGACACGACTTCCAGAGGAGTGTGCAGTGCAGTCGTCATAGCATTTCATATCTCAATTATACAGCACACTCATAGTTAAAAGTACACGAATGTTCTAAAGGACGAAGCTAAACAGGCAGATGCCGACTAGGAAAATGGGAGAGGGGGGTGGGGGCAATCAGAGAAGAGAAATGAGAATGAGACTAGGTGGCAGGTCCATCGGACCTGCGAGAATGTGAAGGAGCTTGTCTCCTTTACAGCAAAACTCCTCTTCAAATCGAATCACAATCTGTTAATTTTTTATTCCTGAAAAAATATTCATATCGTGACACGACTTTCAGAGGAGTGTGGAGTGCAGTCGTCATAGGTCGAAACGAAACATCAGGGAGGGGGTTGACAGCGGTGGCGCTCAAGCGTGGTTGTATATCGAGCAGTTGGACTAGAGCGGAGAGGGTCCTGAAGGGTTCGTGAGGCAGCGATAAGCTCGCGATCGAGCTGGGTGACATAACGCTCCTTAGCCGTGTCACTGCGCCAGTGGCCGAGGGCCTTAAAGAGCCGATCAGGAACACCAACATCAACGGCCGTGGTGGCTGCGGACTTGCGAAATGAGTGTGTGCCAAGGACATCAGGATTGAGTCTGACCCAAGAGAAGGAATCCCGGCACCAACTCCGAATGGTGGCATACGAAGGGGAGCGATCGGAAGGGGAAGCTCGAGAGCCCGGCTGAAACACACGGATGAGGGGGCCGAGAGACTGGGCGGAGTACCCAGCGAGGAATAGGAATTGCTGGACGCGAGAGACAGGGCAGTGGCGAGCGGAGGAGGCAGCCGTAAGAGTCCATGCACCAGTACCCGCCTGATCGGTCTTGGAGCGGGGAATGAACAACCACATACAGTCCCGGTCAAACTCAATCTGGTGCCACTGGAGGGATATCAGATCAGAGAAGCGCAGAAAGGCTGCAAACATGAGGAGAGGGATCAGCCCCTTCTGGAAGGTCGCAGGATCGGACGACGCGAAGTAGACGTCGCAGATATCGTAGATTTTTTCGGGTGGTATCGACTCCTTAGCTCGAGCGGGCCTGCCGCAGTAGCTTTGCGCATACTCCTTCACTTGGGAAGATAACGGGCCGCGAATAGGAGAAGGAAGGCCGACCAGCCAATGAGCACATGAGATGGCAGAACATGCGGATCGCACTACTGAAATAGTGGCGCCACCACGGATCGAGTGCAACAGGAACAGTGCTGCCGTAAGGTCGCTGGCAGGTAGAAAAGGAAGCGAGTGCGCGGTACAAAAGGCCCGATACTGTTGCCAGTAGGGCTCGTATGTTCGAAGAGTAGGCTGTGCACGAAGATCGACTGTGAGCGTCAAGAGATCCAAAAGTAAGCGGCCGAGGTAGGAATATGCGCAGAGGCACAGCGCTATGTATTAGTGAATAGCAAGCGAAGCGCGTACATCAATGAGTTCGGGAGACCTGCACCGCTAAAGGCAGAATGGTCGCTACCAATGCGCAAACAACTAGAGCCAGGAGCAAGGCGAATGGTTGCGACCACAGCGGGGGCCCAAGAGGAGCCGTCCGGGCATAATAGTGGCCACCAAAAGGCGCTAGGCCAATGCGGGATTACAAGGGTGAGCGAGGTGCGCGAGCGGCGGGCGTGAGCGAGGACAGGGGGGATCAGGGGGGGGGGAGGAAAGGCGTAGCAGTTGTCGCCCGACCAGCAAAGAGAAAACGCATCCTGCGCGACTACCGCGTTAGAGAGCTCGAGCGAGCAAAAACGAGCCAGTTGCGCATTAGCCGGGGAAGCGAACAAATCAATAGTATGAGGACCCCAACGCTTCTCTAGCAGAAGGAACCAAGGTCGTGCGAGAGAGTAATCGTCGAGAAGATCCAACTTGGAGAGCGCGTCGGCTTCTGTATTAAGGGTGCGTGGGATCCACTGGACTGTGAGCCGAATTTGGTGGCTCACGCAAAGGTGGATAATAGCTCGGCATATCAGAGTCAACTCAAGCCGGCGGGAACCCCCTTTTTTCATAATGTAATAGGCCGCTTGGCTGTCACTGCGGAGCAGGACGTGCGAGCGTCGGACCTTGTCAAGAAAGGTTGACAGTGCCCAAAGAATGCCAGCAAGTTCGCGGAGCATGCTGGATGAAGAGACGAGGGCCCGGGGAAGTGGTGAAGCATGCGAACCGGCGTCGCCGTCCGGCGCTGAAAAACACGCGCCCCATGCGCGATCACTAGCATCCACATACATCACGACGTCGTAGAGATGAGGATTGTGGAAGCGCGATCCATTGAAGACATCGAACTGGGTGAGCCAGAAACGCAACTCGTCGAGAGAATTGGGTGTCAAGAGAATTGACGCCCCCCAAGAGTGACACTCAGAGATCTGAGAAAGAAGATTGTGGGAGAAGGCACGCGCGACCGTGCCAAGTGCGAGCACCATGGAGGCTAGCAATCCAGTGATGCGAGCGGCCCGACGGACTGGGATAGGCCGCCCTTGCGCGCTAAGTGCACATGTCTGCTCAAGTTCGGCGAAGAGTCGCTGGCGTCTGCCGTCATCGACGAAGAAAGACGTGGTGCGAGTGTCCAGCAGGAGGCCCAAAAACTTTAGGCACTGGGTTGGTTCGAGCTGCGACTTCTTGAAGTTAACAGCGAAGCCAGCTGACTGAAGATCCGCTAAAATGACGGCACGGTGGCAAAGGGCCTCGGCTCGAGTAGCGTTGATGAACAAAATGTCATCGACGTATGGGATAAGTCGAATGCCGCGTCCGCGCCAACGTTTTGCGAGCTGCTTGATCAGCTGAGTAAAAACGAACGGCGTAGTAGCTATACCAAAAGGCAATGATAGAAACTGGTAGCGCTGCCCTTGGAGTGTAAAACCAAGAAAGCGCCAATACGAGGGATGGATATGCACATGGTGGTAGCCGGATTTTAGATCGATGGTGAATAGCCAATCGTCTTGCTGCACCAAGTCAAGCCCTCGTAGCGAAAACGGGGGACGGAAAGAAATGAATTTACGTAGCGGAGGTCCGATATGAGCCTCTTTTTGGAAGGTTGGACGACTACGTTAAGCGGGCTGATGCATGTGAGTGGCTCCGATAGAGGAACGAGCCGGGCCGTTCCCGTAGCGAAGAGCTCGTCCACCGCCTCCAACGCGAAGGGGCGGTGACAAACAAGTACAATAAAAAAGCCGCAAGGGCCGGACGCAAGGAACGATAACTTACATCCCCACACCAGTCCATGTCTGCATTATTTATCCGGGAACGATCATGGTGAGTAGAAGAATCTTGACTTCCCTCACGAACAGGGGATCCACGTCGTCCATTGCTCCTTAAATTCATTCTTGAAACAGGAGGACGACCAGTTGCAGCAGAAACAATTCCTCCAGTCATGGTAGAAAAACGTGCAGCAATCACGTCCTCAAGTAGCGTGCTCCTATGCCCAGGTCTGGGCATAGGAGGGGTTTAGAGTGTGTTGATGGTAGTAAGCAATCAGAGAAGAGAAATGAGAATGAGACTAGGTGGCAGGTCCATCGGACCTGCGAGAATGTGAAGGAGCTTGTCTCCTTTACAACAAAACTCCTCTTCAAATCGAATCACAATCTGTTTTTTTTTTTTATTCCAAAAAAAAATTATTCATATCACAGCAGAATCCGCGACTTCGACGGTTGAAATCCTCCCAAATCTCAACCTTCGCTGACGTTTCCATTTCGCGCTGCAACTTTGTGTTAATCCTTCTGCCCGTTTTTTTCGCTGCTAATGGTAGTTGACATTGCATTTTTCATCCTGCTTGTTTTTTCAATCGAGAGGAGCTTGAAAAACTACGGAATACTGTTCTTTTTGCTGCATAAAACGAGCAGGGTGTTTTGTAAAATGCAACCCCCGAAAAGCGGGTGCTCTCCAAAATGCACCCTATCATAAGCTCTCCCCCACATAAACCACCCACGGAGTGACTATTTCGGCGGGTGATACGGTATATACGGGGGATTACGGTAGCTCAAAATAAATATTACATGACAAAGTGGGGCAAACTAGCAAGGCAGTCTCAAAAGCACACCATTAATACCCCACACCATTCATATTTGAGGCACTAAGTGCCACATTACTGTATATCGTCTCAAAGCGACAACTCATCATCAGCATCCTGTTGCGCCTTCACCTGCGCCCCTCCCTGCGCCATTCCTCCCAATCTGGACTTGCGAGCCCGGCCTGTTCGACCAACTCCCCCTACCCCCACGCTCTGTGTTGCTCCCAAGCTTGTACCACTAGCCATATTTGTTGTCTGCCTTTTACCCATAAACGCATTCTTGGTAACACCAAGGCTAGAAGTTGCCCCTTCCCCATTCTCACCCTCGTCCCCGCCCTCCTCACCCAACCCTTCACCACCAACCCCCCCTGCAGCAGAACGTGTCCCCTCAAAACCCAACGCACTTGTAGTTGCTCCTCCTCTCGCATTCAGGCGCCCAGCCTTCCCAGTCACACCACCAGCACCGCTAAACCTTCCACCAAACCGGCCCGCCTTCACTGCCCCTGACCTGCTGAATGCCCCAGCAGAACCCAGCCCAGAAGCAGCATCCGGGGAATCAGCTTCTTCCAAGGGAGAAGCATCGGGAGTATCTATATCCTCGTTATTAGCACGCTCGATACTACCACCTCCCACACTGCCAAAAGAATCAACACCAGCATTAGCTTCCGAATCATCCTCTTCGTTCACATCCCCACTGGCAGCAGTAGTACGTGCGGCGCCACGAGCAAACCCGCCTCTGTTGCTACCTTCCCCCGCTGCAACATCGCCTGCGAGATCAGCATCAGCATCATTGCCAACAGCAACATCTGCATCCGCATCCGCATCACCTGCAGCAGCACCGCCAGCACCACCACCAGGAGCAGCTTCTGTGCCATAGTTATCCACCCCAACCAAGCCCCCTCCGCTGCCAAATCTGCTCCTGGGCAAGCCTCCCCCAGATAAGCCCTCCACCTCAGGGCTGTGCAGCGCCTCTTCCACTGCGGACTGAGCCGTGCTCTTCCCCGCTTCAAACCCCTCCGCCTCCTCCCCTTCCCCCTCCCCTCCTGCTGCCGCGGCTCCTCCCGACCCCTTACTGCTGCTGCTGCCACCACCACCGAACATGCGAGAGACAAAGCCAAACAGGCCACCACCACCACCGCCAGAGGAGAAAGAAGAGCTGCTCCCCGCCTCGCCCTTCCCTGCCTTGGATCCAACCACGGCCTTCCCAGACCCCACCCCCCCATCCTCATCCATCTCATCCCCCACCCCCTCACTCTCTGCATCGCCGCTGCCCAGCCCCACCTCGCCCCTGCCTAGCCCTGCGCTCCCCCCTGCTGCGCCCATCGATTCACCATCCAAATCATCCACATTCTCCATGCCTCCCATGCCGGACGCGACACCCCCTGCTGTCGCTCCGCCTGAGCCCTCGTCCTCGCCATAAGGGTCTGTTGCTGCTGCTGCTCCGGTGACCTTACCAAGCCTGCTGCTGCTTGTGGTGCCGGTGCCAAAGCCACTGGTGCTGCCAAAGCTGCGGCTGCTGCTCCTTGTCCCGAATAGACCATTAGCATTGCTGCTGCTGCTGCTTCTACCAGCAAGGCCTGCCGCGATGTCGTCTGCTACGCCATCATTGTAGTCGTTTGCAGCACCAGCAGCGCCACCAGCGCCACCAGCGCCACCAGCACCAGCAGCGGCAGCGTAGTCATCATTGCCCTCCATGCCAAGTCCTTGCTGCTGCTGCCCTGCCCTCCCTCCAAACAACCCTCCTGCTCCTGCTCCTCCTGCTGCTCCTGCCTGCCCCCTCTGCTGCTGCTGCCAGGTGCTTCCCGCTCTCCCTCCCAGACGACCCCCAGCAGCATCACCCACACCACCCATGCCACCACCCATACTACCACCCAAGCCCATCCCCATGGTCCTACCTCCTGCCATTGATGCTTCAGAATTAATCCTTCCGCCCCTCACCCCACCCATGACTGCCGTCCCCAGCCCTGGCCCCTCCTGGTCATCCACACCACCCAAAGCATCTGCCCCCCCCAATCCCCCACTGCCCAAACCTCCGCCCATCCCCGCTCCCCCCATCTCGCCACTGCCCATCCCCGCTCCCCCCATCCCCCCACCGCCCATTCTCCCTGCAGCTTCCCCTGCAGCCCCTCTGGACGCCCCTCTGGTCGCTGCCCCTGCTGCCCCCCGTGTCACTCTTCCCAAACCAGCGCGTTCCCCTTGCCGATAGACCTCGTCTGTGTTCGCCCCTCCCTCCATCCCACCACCCATTCCTGCCCCCACACCGGCAGCAAAACCAGACCCAGCAGCACCGGTAGTACTGCCTCCCATGCCTCCCATGCCTCCCATGCCCCCAAATCCAGTACTTGTGGCGCCTAGCCTGCTTCTCCCTCTTGCAGGGAGCCCACCCCCACCCACATCCATTCCACCCCCACCGAATGAACCCCCTGCTGCGTTGGTGGCCATGCCCATATCGTCATCGCCATCGACATCCAGCCCTTCTCCCGGCCCTTCTCCCAGCCCACCTCCCAGCCCACCTGCTGCCCCTCCTTGGAACCCCCCACCAAAGTTACCAGCACTATTCCGGGCCCTGCCACCAAACGCCCCAGCCCCACCTAACCCAGCTCTACCTACCTCAGTTTCCCTACCAGCAGCAGCAGCAGCAGCAGCAGCAGAACCCATGCCTCCCCCAAACGACCTGCCAGCAGCAGCACCGCCTCTGGACCCAGCGAACCCCCCTGCCCCTCTATACGTGTCTTCATCCTCGTCGTTCACCCCAGTCATTCCCCCTGCTCCTCTCATCCCTCCCTTTCTGCCCGCACCTCCCACTCCTCCCACTCCTCCCATACCCCCTGTGCCCCCTTTGCCGTATCCTCCTAGCCTGTTTGTTGTCCCCGCATCCGCCCCTCCCCACCCCATCCCCCGCTGCTGCTGCTGCTGTGTTGCTGCTCCCCCCGCCCATCCTCCCCTTGCGCCCCCCCTGCCCCCGCTTTGCCATGTGTCCTCCACGTCACTGCCACCGCTGGCCCCTCGCGACCACTTGCTGCTTGAAACGAAGGAGGCAATAACGAGAGAAGAACATCCACGCATATCATTTTGTCAGAGGAACACAGCCACGATCGATTTCCCTCCATTCGATAGCCCTGAGAGCTCCGGTTTCTTCGTTGCCCATTCCTCTCAGGCTCTCAGCTCGTCACAGCCACGAGCAGCTTCCCTCCCTTCGATTGCCCCCAGTTGGTGTTGGACGGATATTCCTACAATTGGTTCACTCCGAGCCATCCTTCGTTGCCCATCCCTCTCAGGCTCTCAGAGTCTCAGCTCTTCACAGCCGCGAGCGGCTTCCCTCCCTTCAGTTGTCCCCAGCTGGTTCACTCACAAACATTCTTTGCCGCCCATTCCTCTCAGGCTCTCAGCTCTTTACTGTCTCTTTTTTTGCCTTCTCAATTCCCTTTCACATCATTTTCACATCATTTTCACATCATTTTCCCACCTTTACATTCCTAGAGCCATCCACTATCGGTGTCCACACCTTGGTGGACCTACATTCGATTGTGTCACATCCCACGTTGTCAATCAACCATGGAGAACACACAACAATGCAATCCCCACATCACCTGACTCACCTGGCGCTTACCCAGACTCACCTGACGCTTACCCAAACTCACCTGACGCTTATCCAGACTCACCTGACGCTTACCCAGACTCACCCGCCCGTAGCAACGCCATCGCCATAATCGTCCACGTCAGCAGCACCCCTTTGTCCGAATCTCCCGCCAGTCCCCCCTCGTCCGCCCGCCAGCCGCTGCTGCCGCGCACCCACGCCCCCGCCTCCCCCCATCTCGTCCGCGTCATCTTCCCCCTTACCATATCCGCGCCCGCCCCGTCCCCCTCGTCCCCCCCTACCCCCCAGCTCATCCCACGCCTGGTCAAGCGCGTCGTCTCCGCGCCCTCCTCGTCCCCCTTGTCCTCCGCGCTCCCCGCGCGCTCCCCCCATGCGGTCCGCGCCCTGCCTGTACGACGCCGAGGCATCAGAGTCCCTATAAGCCCCCGCTCCCCGCGCCCTTTTCCCCGAGTACCCTGACCCTGACCCGCCGTATCTACTGCTGCTGGTAGTATCCCTGTCATCCTCATCATTGCCACTAAGACTATCCTCGTCTTCCTCCTCGTCCGCCGCCTTGCTCCGCCGGCCACTGCTCTTCTTCTTCCTCCCCCACTTCCCCAGAGGACTGAACGTTCCCTCGTCCTCCCAGTCCGAGTCTCCACCTTTCCCGCCGCCTTTCCCACCACTCTTCTTGCCGTACCTCTTGGATTTGCGCTTGGTGGTCTTTTTCGTCTTTCCCCTCGTCTTGCTCCTTTTCCCGCCCTTCCTTTTTGTCTTCTTCCCTTTCTTCCCCTTCCTGCCCTTCTTTCTGCTGCTCCTGGTATCCTCCTCGTCCACGTCATCCTCCTCCTCATCCACGTCATCGCCATCATCACCACGACCGCCTTTGCGCATCGAAGAAACTCCGCCTCGTCCGCTCTTAGAGTACCCTGCCGCGCTTTTAGAATACCCTGAAGCGCCTCTAGCATACCCCGCAGTGCTCTTAGAATACCCCTCCATATCCATACCCCTCCCAGTCTCCATCCCTCTGCCCTTTTCCTTCGGGTAAAGCGCGCCCCCCCCATCATCATCATCATCACTCATACCCATATCTCCCATCGCCCCACCGCCGAACCTTCCCGCGGCTTTCCCGCTGCTCGCGAACGCGTCCACGTCATCATCCATCGCATCCGAGCCGTCGCTGCCGCCGCCCCACGAGCCGCTGCTCCCCCTGCCGCCCACCCCCTTCTTCCAGCTCGCCGAGGCGCCTCCGCCGCCAAACCCGCCGCCGATTGCGGAGCTACTCTTGCTCGGCCAGGTGGAGCTAGTGGAGGTAGTTCCTAGGCCATCATCGTCATCCGACATTTCGTCCCAAGACGTCTTCTTCCCAACGTTTTCCGTCAAGCTAGCCGACCCGAACGATCCTGACAACCCTGTCCCAGCGGCCGTCAGTTTTGACGATTTGGTGCTGCTCGGCCACGTGGAACCTGCCGCGCCGGTAGTTCCGTAACCGTCATCGTCGCCGGTGCCGTACTCGCCGTCCAATGACCCTCCTAAAGCCGCGCTGGAGCGCGGAGCGGGAGCCTCGACGCGGAAATTACGGAAGCCGATGAAAAGGAGAGCGGCGACGAAGATCGCGGAGAGCAGGAGGACCCACGAGGTGGTGGAGAGGCGGAGGAAGGACGGCCGGCGCGAGGGCGAGCTCGGGGAGACCGGCTCGTCGCCGGGATTGTCCCACTGAAAGCCGTCCGCTTTGGCGCCGCGTCGGCCGCGAGTGCCGCTGGCTGGAGCTGTGGAAGCCATTTCTTCTTCACGCAATCATGTTAGGAAACCGATCAGGAGGGAAATAGAAGGGATTGACTGTGGAGGAATGGGATGTTCTTCAGACAAGAGGAGGCGACCCGCCTTGCATTCACGGTGAGTAGAGAGTGGTAGCGCAGCCACCCTGACCAGACAAACAGCAATCGAAAAATGGTGGAAGGCAGATTTGCAGCCAGCCCCGCAAATTATGGGTTCAGGCGGAACGGAAATCCCAAGGTGGAAGGGATACACAGGTGGGCGGTGATAGGTGGGCGATAGGTGGTAGGTGGGCGGGTTGGGTCTGCGCGCGTGATGGTTTGGCGGACGACGGGAATGTCTGGGCTGCTCTGAATGGCTGGGGGATCGGTAGGTGGAGCGCGAGCGAGCGGGGGGCGGGTTGCTGCACCAGTGGGGAAGGTGGCGGAACTGGCGCCGTCCAACCCAATCCCACACGCTGCAGCGCGCGATGGACCCCCCATGTAGCCAGCCACGGAAGGTGGCCAATGAGAGGTGAAGAAATTATGCCTCGTATAGGCTAACCCATTACGAGTACACTTACGTAGACTATTCCATAAATCGTTTTGCTTACAACGCGACTCTATGTTACGCTTTTTTTCGTTTTGAAGTGTTGCCTCTTTACACCTTCGAGATATTTCCCCCAACCCGCCTGTGTTTCCTGTTCCATTCTGCTTGCACCGCGCTTTACTTCTGTCAGTTGTTCTGTCAGATCCACGTCAACTAAGCGACTCGAATCTCCTTAGAGCCGCATCAGACATGGGGAGGGTTCCCGTGCGCCTCAAAGAGGTGACGTACGCGCTGTCGCCGTTCGAGCAGAAGATCATGGGTGGGCTGTGGAAGGACATGGGGAAGGAGTGGGTCAAGAAGGTCAAGAACAACTGGCTCGACGCCGCCACCTGCGTCGGACCCATCGCCGGAACTTACTGGTACGGACTTAGTCGACTTCGTGGCGGCGATCACATATTCACAGGATGTTACTGGTATGCACGCGCGTCGTCGTATTCGTCGCTGCGATCGCCTCCCTCCCATCCTCCATTCCCTCCCCTTAGCTCTCATTCTCGTCGTTCGTTACGTCCCCGTTTTCATCTTTTGAGGCGACTCAAAGTCCCCTCTCCTTGGCTCTCGTTTTCGTTTTTCGTGACGTCCACGCGCAAAGCTTACGCCGTGCAACCCGTCTCTCGCACATTCTGGATCGCTAGTTTTCTCCGCTGATCCCTGTACGCCGTCGATCGAAGCTCAAGCCGTGCTACCCTACCCGTCCCGTGCACCTTGCTTCCGTAGATCTCAAAAGTTCTTCTTCTCCGTCATACCCGCCATTCGAATCCCCCGCTCCTCGTTTCCGATCGCCGCATCTTCAGCACCTTCACCCCCCAACAACCCCCCCCCCACCCCGCCCTCTCTCTCTCCCCTCTTCCCCCCTTCCCCCTTCCCCCCCCCCCCCCCCTCTCTCCTCTCCCCTTTACCCCTTCCTTCCCCCCACCCCTTCCCCGTACCTTGGTTGCCTCAGGTACGTGCAGTGGTACAACGAGCAGGAGAAGCAGCACCACCGGTGTTGACAACCGTGCCGCCCAGCAGCGATTCACTCATTGCCTGTGGTGAGTCCTCTTCCAAACCCTAGGTCCGCCTCGGCACACTTCTTGGGACTTCACCCTTTGTCAGCTGCACTTGAAGAAAATTCGGAGCCGTCCTGTATGCAAGCTTTGTGGCGTTATAAGTTATAATACACTACTGGAAGGTTTTCTCATGAACGGTTTTCTCACCTGTAGTTGCTCTTGCAGGCACTGACATGCTTCAGGAGGAGATCCTGGCAGGGGTGCCTGATGATGCAAGTCCTTCAGCGCATGCAGTAATTCATGACAGGATATGCACTACGGCACCTACCAACTGTTCTGCACATTGTTGAAGTTGCTTCTTGTCAAAGAAAATGCCTTAACCCCACAGACCTTCTTGGAAAACTCTTTACCCTGCACGTTGTTTCTGATCTGAAGGTTAGCTGCACAAGTTTGGCTGAGATGCGCTACCTCGTGCAATTGCAACCCATGATTATGTTTTGCAGTTGCTGGGGCATGATGTTTTTTTTGTATACTAACTAAAGCGGGTTGTATGGAGACAATTGGAATCTGAAAACCGGCTATGACGATTTATGATGGAACATATACAAAGTGATGCCACTGTGAAAAATGGCTACGTGATGCGATTTCGGAATGATGAAAACCTGACAGTATCGCGTACGCCGCCCTTCTCCTGCAACACTTTCTTTCCCTCCAGAACTCGTTTTCTCATTCGCTCAGCTCTGACTCAAAAACAACCCAGCCCATGGCCGCCGTTATTCCGAGTCGCATTGACCCCACTTTTAGGTTCGTCCGCCGCGTCGACGCCATTCGTTCCGTCTCTTCATTCAACTCACCTGGACCCGAACGCCTGTGTCGAATCTCCCAGCGTGTCGTAAAACATTTTCCCACCGTTTTTTTTCAAATCCGTTAGGGCTGTTTGCCACGTACGTCGAGCCTTGGAAGTGAGAGGGAAAGTGCGCGGCTCGTTTACGTCGCCTCGCGTTCCTATTTTCACATTCCGCAGCTTGAATCCAACCACGCAGCGGCGACTAGCTTGGCGGTGGGAGAATCGAATTCAATTCAATTAGCGACCAATCAGTGGATAGGAAGCAAGTTCAGTTCATTTAGCGACCAATCAGTGGATGGGAAGCGAATTCAATTCCATTAAAGACAAAACTGTCGGTGGGCTTTGTGCCATCAGCCAGTGTTGGCGACGATGTGGTCCCTCCCTGTCCCTCCCTCCCACCACGCCCGCTCGCCCAGCCTCAATCACCGGGTGCTTCCCTCCACGCCCATTCTACGTTTCTCGCCTTCCTCTCCCCACGACCATTCTAGCTTCTCGCACATTCCTCGCTACGCCCATTCTTCGGCCTCTAGTCTGCAGAGAGTTTTGGCGAAACTAGAGGAACGCGATCAGCGGCTGCACTGATAGCTCTCCGCCGACGCTAACTCCGTGGCGTCCTCGTTATCAAGTCCGCGTCTCCGTCGAAGAAACGCGGAAGAATCCCTGCTGTCGGAGTAACGCCACAAGTTGTGGCGTTCTTGCACACCTCTGGTCGACGGCGACGGGGACGATTCGAGGAGGTTCCTACCGAGCGAACTCGCCCAGAGAACTCGCCGAGGGAACTCTCGCGGACGGAACTCTCGCGGAGGGAAACTCGCGGACTCGTGAACGTTCCGATTCGTCATGAGACGTTGACGATTCCTCGTCCCGCTTTCAGTCTTCCTCGGTGTCTTGATCGATCTCCCGTTTTCTTTCACGTTTGTTGTACGACCGGCCAGTTAGTAGCAGTGTTGCCCTGAATTATTGTTCCCATTATTGTTTGCCTTCAACTCTTTCTCTTCCTTTTCTTTCGCCGACTTGCAGCTTCTTGCACGATCTGCAGCGAGGCGGCCCAGTCAAGCACGTCCGTCGCAACGTGTCTCAAAATTCGCTTCATCGCATCCGTCGCGAGCGTCGCAGCCATCGCTGTGGCGGGCGTGCGTCCGGCTTCCCATGCCGTGGTAGAGAAGGATCGTTCTGCCGCTTTCAGTCGTCCCGCCTTCAGTTTTATGACCGTCCCGCGGCCGACGATCTTCCCATGAATCGCCCTGGTAAGTGATGGGATTTCGCTTCTGGGGGGGCCGAGTAGGCGTCCGCCGCGTAGCGTGTCACTGGTCCGTTTCCCGCTTTTTGAGTCACCTCTCGTTCTGCTACTAACACACACTCTCTTTCGTGCCTTGTGTTTCTCTTTGCGTGCGTGCGCATGTGACGGCGCGGGAATCTGCGAGTGGCGAGGCGACATAGGCGGCTGCTGCCTCGTCAATCCCGGGCGGAAACATCGACCGCGCGAGGAGACACCACTGACGAGCGGGGAGGGTGTTGACCCCGCTGCGCGCGCGCGCGCGCCTCTCCTCCTGACTCCAGCGGAGTTGCTTGGGTGAGTGGCGGGGACGCGCCAGAGGGGGGGCGAGTAGGCGTCCGCCACATAGCGCGTCGCTGGTCGGTTTCGTGCTGCTTTGAGTGGCTCATTCTCGCCCGGGCTAACGAACTCTGTTTCTCTTTCGTGCTTCTGCGTTCGTTCTGTTCGCCTGCGTGAGTGTAGTAACCACACTGTGTTGGCGCGCTTGTGCCTGGTGGTGTGGTGGAGAGCACAAACCAACCTCACCAACTCCGTGTGCGACCTTGCACGCTGTACGACCTGCTGGTGCGCTGCGCAACTTGGTGTGGTGTGCGACTGGTTGCGGTGTGCGACCTCCTTCGGTGTGCGACGGGAGGCGATGAGGTTTGGGGAACCAGCAGCGAGCGAACCAAGCTCAACAACTATTGGACAAGGTTAGTTTCGTTCGATGCTCGCGAAACTACTGTCGCCAACCAACTTCGCTGCCAACGAATTTCTTCGCCACCCGATGTTGTCGCCCTCACTTCGTCGCTCAAACCATTCCCCCTCGAATCAAGCACTCGCCATTCCTTGCTGCCGGCCTGCTGATTGCATTCCTTCAACCAGCGTTTCATGAGCCTCGTTATTGTCACACCTTAAAGCGTCGTTTCTTTTTTTCTTTTTTCTTTTTTTTGCGATGGAATTTTCATTCAGATGTGTGCGACTGAGGCACCTGGCGGCGAGGATCTCAGCCGTAGCGTGCGTTCATCACATCGCGACCGTCCATCGCCAGCCGTCGAAAAGCGAGACGGTCGTCCGCGTGCGTGACGGTCTTCCGCGCGACGTCGAACGGCGAAATTATCGTTCGCGCATCGTCGCGCGCGGCGAGACGGTCGTCCACGTTTCGTCGCACCGCGAGATGGTCCTTCGCGCGACGTCGCATGGCGAGATCGTCCGCGTCGTCGCACGGCGAGATGGCCGTTCGCGCTTCATGGGCCCCGCCTCTGCCGCTTCCGTCCATCCTCGGCGTGGGGACTTGGAGGAGCCTGCATCCTCGGCGTGGGGAGTCTATTTTTGCGGGGCCTCAAAAATGGACTTGGAGGAGCTTGGGCTGCGCCTCTGCCCCTTGCCCCCAGCCTCTGCGGCTTCCGCCCGGTAAGCGCATGCTCCCAGCTGTAGGGGGGGCGAGTAGGTCACTGTCTAGGCCGCCGCCGCATGGTAAGTGCGTCTCCCTCCAGTCGCCTTCGTTTCTCGGCTCGAGTCGGTGTCTTTCCTCCTGCTCGCGCTAACAAGAGCTTCTGCGTGGTCGGTTATTCCCTGTCGCTTTGGGGGGTGAGGGGGAAATATCCCTCCACCCCTCCTCCTCCTCCCCTCCTCTTCCCCCCTCTCCTCTGCAGTGAAGGCAAGAGCGGCAGCAGGGGCCGCTGGGGAAGCTGGGGCAGCTGGGGCAGCTGGGGCAGCAGGGGCAGCTGGGGCAGCTGGGGCAGCTGGGGCAGCAGGGGCAGCAGGGGCAGCTGGGGCAGCTGGGGCAGCTGGGGCAGCTGGGGCAGCTGGGGCAGCTGGGGCAGCAGGGGCAGCAGCGGCAGCAGGGGCAGCAGGGGCAGCGCATCCTGCTGCAAGGGAGAGTGTCTGGAGGGGGAGGGCGGGATGGTTGGGAGTTGGGATTTAAGGCGGAGCGGGAGGAGCTTCGGAGTGCGTCAGCTTCTGCTGGCTCGGCTTCTTGCTTCCGTCCAGCTAAGCACCCGTTACTCCCTCCCACCCGTTACTCCCTCCCACCCGTTACTCCCTCCCACCCGTTACTCCCTCCCACCCGTTACTCCCTCCCACCCGTTACTCCCTCCCACCTGCTATTCCTGTTTCTGCCATTCGTTTCAGCCCTTCAAATCGCGCCACTGGTAGCAGTGCAGTGAACAAGCCACAGACCCCCCCCCCCCCCCCCCCCCCCTCCCCTCTGCAGGTGTTGCAGGTATACCCTTCAGGTCAAGCCGAGCCCCCCCTTGGGTCTGTGGCTTCTACCTGAGACTCTACCAGTGGCGCCCTCCCTTGCTCCTCTCCCTTGTTTGTACGTTGCTTGCTCGCACATCCCTCATCTACCTTCCACTCTCTCCTCTCCTCCACCTAACTTCCTCTCCCTCCCCTTCCCCCCCGCCGTTCTCCCCTTCCCCCCCTCCCTCCTCCCCCTTCCCCCTCCCCCCTTCCCCAGACAGGGCCTGTGCTGGCGGATCTGCAAGCGCCTGTGCAGTGGCTGCTGTGACTGCAGGGGGAGGGGAGGGAAGGGGTGTGGAGTGGGGGGTGTGAAGCGCTTGTGTGGGGGGAAGCAGAGAGGGCTAAGGGGTTGCCAGCTGGCAGCACACAACACAAGCAGCCGCCACAGCTAAGTACCCACTCCACGCTCCTTCTTGCACGTTTTGACTGCTTTCACTTGCTTTTGATTTGCCTTTGTGAGACACTCTGACTCGCCCGCACACACTTCGTCTGCACACATGCCCACATACACACACACCAGTCCATGCATCCATGCTTCTTGCCTCCTCTCTTAAAGCGAACCACTTGCAGCAGCCTAGGTCACGTGGTGGTGCAGACCCATACTCCAGGTGCCCCCCCGCCCACTAGGGTTTAGCCTTCCTCTATCCTTTTACGACTTATACCCCCCCACCCCCCCTACCCCCTGGGTCTGCACCATGTGCCTAGTGCTGGTAAGTGGTCCCTCTACTGCGATTACCTGAAAACCCACCCTACCCCACCCATGCCCACCTCTCACGCCTCTACCTCTAGCCGCTTACTCACTGCTCTACAGTTTTCCCCTGCTGGTTGAGGGAAGGGGCGTGGGGGTCAACACCTCCACTCCCCCACACCCCTCCCCTTGTGGCCGTGCAGGTGCCTCTGCTGGGTGGGGAGGGGGGTGGCAGCACTCTACTGGGTGAGGGGGCAGCGCTCCACACAGCAGCAAGGGAGAGTATTGGGGTTGGGCGGGCCACTCAAGGTGAGCAGTTCATCTGCTCTTCTGCAATTGATTCGCTTCTTTCCTTTTTTTCCAGTCTGACTCACCTCTACTCCTCCTCTCTGCCTGTGCAGGTGTCTCTGGTGGGTGAGTGGGTGGGGGGCGCAGCACCCTACTCGGCTGCAACTGACAAGGGAGAGTATCGGGGTTGGGCCAGCCACTCAAGGTGAGCACTCAAGGTCTTTTTGCATCTTTCCAGTGCTGTTTGTATTGCCCACTGTGACTCACACCGACTCCTCTCTGCCTGCGCAGGTGCCTCTGGTGGGTGGGGAGGAAAGGGAGAGGGGGCAGCACTCCACTCAGCTGTAACGGGAGAGTATCGGGGCTGGGTCGGCTTAAGAAGGTGAGCACTTCATTTTTTGTTTCTGCTTTTTTCTAGTTTTTTTTTGTTTTGCCCACTGTGACTCACCTCTCCTCCTCCTCTCTGCCTGTGCAGGTGCCTCTGGTGGGCGGGGAGAGGAGGGGAGAGGGTGGGGCAGCACTCCACTCGGTAATGGGAGGCTGGGCTGGGGAGGGTGCCAGCTGGGAGCACACAAGCAGCCACAGCAGTTGTGTACACACCCCACACACACTCTCTCTCTCCCTCGCATTTTGGCTGCTTTCACTCCCATACTTTGACTTTGTGATGCAACATTGTCACATTCACTCACACACACACTCACTTGCATCCGCACCTCATCACTCCATCCATGCTGCCCGCCCTTCCCCCTAAAACCGAACCACTCGCAGCAGCCTAGGTCACATGGTGCAGACCCCCTATTCCAGGTGCCCCCCCCCCTAAGGTCAAGCCTACCTATATACTATTAAGACTTTCTACGTATCCCCCCCCGGGTCTGCCCGGTGTGCCTAGTGCTGCTTCAATGGTCCCTCTGCTGCTATCACCTGCCACCCCACCCCACCCCACCCATGCACACCTCCCAATCTTCAATCCTTCATAGCTTACTCACTGCTCCACAGTTTCCTGCTTGCCTGCTGAGGGGAGGGACGTGGGGGTCAACACCGCCACTCCCCCACACCCCTCCCCTTGTGGCCGTGCAGGTGCCTCAGGTGGGTGGGGAGGGAAGCTGGGAGAAGCGCTGCCATGAGGGAGAGTATCTGGGGTGGGGTTGGCCTCTCAAGGTAAGCCCCTTGTCTCCAACCCCTCTTGCTGCTGCAGTCTCTCCGCCCCCTCTTCCTTCACCGCCTTTCCGGTTCGTACTTGTTTGATTTGCAGTCTCCGTTTCCTTCACTGCCTGTCTTTCTGGTTCTTTGTTGAAAGTCCTGCACTGCACCTAGCTTCGTTCTGACTGCCTCCCTTTTCTGCCCGCCCCCAACAGGTGACCAAGCATCATTTAAAGACTGCAGCATAGGAGTCTAGTTTTGAGGCGCCTCAAAACTTGTGCACCTAGCTTCGTTCTGTCTGCCTCCCTTTTCTGCCTGCCCCCAACAGGTGACCAAGCATCACTTGAAGACTGCAGCAGAGGCAGCTGAGCAGCAGACAGCAGCACCAGAAGCAGCAGCACCAGAAGCAGCAGCAGCAGCAGCAGAAGCAGAAGCAGCAGTTGGGGGTGGGCGGTTAGAGGGCAGGCTAGGATTAGGAGTGAGAGAGCGAGGTATGGTATCAGGTACAGGTATGGTCGTCTCACCCCCTCTGCTTCTTTCCTTCCTACAGCATGTGGATCTGGGGGGCCTTGGAGCAATGGCAGGAGCTTGGGGCGAGGGCAGGAGAATGGAGCCCACCCCCTCTCTCACCTCCTCTTCTTCCCCCCCCTTCCCTTCCCTCCAGCAGCATCACGCCTTGAGGAACGGGAGGTGCAGTCCCCACCCTCACCTCCCCTCCCCCCTTTGTAGCAGGTTGCGGCATCGTGGGCTCCATTCGGCTATGGTAGGTGGAGGTAAGGAGAAGGGCCCGGGTGGTGGGAGGCAGGGGAGGGGTGGGTGGGGGGGGGGGAAGCATAGGAGCAAGCATGCAGCTCACTCCCTTAGGGGCAGCACCCTCTGTGGTTCCTGCCTTGTCGGTCGGGTGTGGTCAGTGGAAAGTGTGTGGCACGGCAGTCGTTCCTCAAGTAACAACACTAGTGGCGTATCGTATAATGGAACCGGTCAGAGCCATGCGCGCCGGCTCTGGTTGGGAGTCCCCTCCTACGACGCTGAATGTGGCGGGATTTGAGTCTTGGGCCGCCCGTGCATTTTCCACTGCCATACTTTGACCACAAGGCACAACCATGGGGGATGCTGTTTCCGAAGGGGAGTGGGTTGCATGCTGCTCCTAGTGCTGGGAGGGGGGAAGTGGGGAGGGGGGTTGGGGTTGGGTGGTAAACTGGGATGGTGGTGGTGGTCAAAGGGGGCCTGAAACTCCCTTGATGAGTTGATCGGTCGGTGAAGGAGGGCTTCTCAACCTACACTGTAAGTTGAGCGAGGGGGAGCAGAGGAGCAAAGGAGGGCGTCTGCGACTGCCACTGTAAGTTGAGTGAGAGGGGGAGGTGGGGGCTGAAACCAGCAGAGTAAGTTTAGTGAGGGGGAGAGGAGGGGCAAAGGAGGGCGTCTGCGACTGCCACTGTAAGTTGAGTGAGAGGGGGAGGTGGGGGCTGAAACCAGCACTGTAAGTTGAGTGAGGGGGAGAGGCGAACAGGGGCGTGAAGCCCCTTGGGTGAGTTGATTGATCGGAAAGGAGAGCGACTGCAAAGCTCTCTGTAAGTTGAGTTGGGGGGAGAGGAGGGGGCTGAATCCAGCAGCGCCAGTCAAAGGAGGGGCACAGGAGGGCGTCTGCACTGCAGTCACCACTGTAAGTTGGGTTAGAGGGAGAGGGGAAAGGGGGCCTGAACCCCCCTGTGTACGTTGAGTGAGAGGGGCTGAATCCAGCAGCGCCAGTCAAAGGAGGGGCACAGGAGGGCGTCTGCACTGCAGTCACCACTGTAAGTTGAGTGAGAAGGCGAGGAGCAAGGGGTGCTAAAATCCCCTGGGTAGGTTGAGTGCTAAGGGAGCGGAGCAAGAGGCCTGAAACCACGGGCTGAACTGAGTTGAGTTGAGTGAGAGGGATCCGAGAGGGGTCCCTGAAATCCCCTGGGTAAGTTGAGTGCAAGGGAGCGGAGTGGAGCAAGGGGGGCGGAAACCCCCGGGGTGAGTTGAGTGAGTGGAAGAGAAGAGAGGGGGGCTGAAATCCCTGCGGTGAGAAGATCGGCCTGCGCACAGGGCAGGACAGCAAATGATGATGCTGCATGGGGTGCCTGATGCCGTCCTGCCCCTGTGCTAGTCCAGTGATATGCGCTCCCTGAGGTTCCAAGGGTAAGGTGAGTGAGGGGTAGTGAGGGGTAGTGAGGGGTAGTGAGGGGTAGTGAGGGGTTTGTGCAGAGCAACCACCGGGGTAAGTTGGTTGAGGGGCAAAAAACAGGGTCTGCAAGCACCAAGGGGAGTTGAGTTAGAGGGAGCAGAAAAACGGGCCTGAAACCCCTGAGGACGGTGCAGTGAGAGAAAGGGGTCCCCAAACTCTCAGGGCAACTCTCAGAGTAACTGAATGGTCGAGGAGGAGGTTGCTTGCAACCCCCGTTGCTTGCAACCCCCGTTGCTTGCAACCCCCTAGGAGGTTCATTGAGGCGCAACGGAAGGAGCTGCAACCACCGGGGTAAGGTGAGTGCTGAGAGGGGGCCTGAAGCCCCCAGGGTAAGTTGAGTGTGAGGGAGTGTTGATAGGGGGTCTGGAGCCCCCAGTATTTAAGGGGCTGAAATCCCTGCTGTAATGTGAGTGAGGGTGATTGTGGGGGTTGGAGGGGGGGGGGGTTGTGTATTCGAAGGAACACAGGAGCAAGGGAGGGGAGGGGGGCTGGATTTCTCAGGGTAAGGCTAGCGAGAGGCAGGGGGGGGAAGGGGGGTTTAAACCCACAGGCTAAGGCGAGCTAGGGGCAGGGGAACCCCCCCTCCTCTGCCTTTGGTTCGCCTTAACCTGGGGGTTTCAACCCCCCTCTCTTGCCTCTCAATCGCCTTACCCCAGGAGTTTCAGCCCTCCTCCCATTTCTTACCCTTGTGTTGCCGTGGAGCCTCCACCCCCCTTCTCTGCTCCCCTCTCTCTCCTTACTTCGTCCTCTGCCCCTACCTTTCCCCAGTGGGGTTATTATCCCTCCGGCTTTGTCCTGGGGGGTGTAACCCCCTTAAGCCAATGTGAGCTGAAACCTCAAGGGCTTCGTGAGTGGGTGGAAGAGAAAGGGGGCTGAAGAGAAAGGGTGAGCGGAAGAGAAGAGGGCTGGATGTCCTCAGGTGCGTGAGAGAAAGGGGAGGGTTGAGCCTGGAGCGCCACATGATAGGCAGCAAATGATGATGCCCCACGTGTTGCTTGATGCCCCACGTGTTGCTTGATGCCCCACGTGTTGCTTGATGCCCCACGTGTTGCTTGATGCCCTATCATGTGGCCTCGTCGGTCCAACCCTCTCCAAAGTGTAGAAAGGGGGCTTGAAACCTCAGGCTCAGGGTAAGTTCAGCGATTGGGGCAGGATAAATGGGGCGTGGAATCTCCAGACTAAGTGGAGTGCGGGGAGCGGAGGGGGACTGCAGCAACCACGAGGAGGGAGAGAAGGAGAGGCTTGAAACCCCTGGGGTATTTCGAATGAGGGGCAGTGGGGGGACTGCAGCAACCACGAGGCTGAGTTCATCCAGAGGGAGCGGTAGGAGGGAGGAGGGAAGGGGGCCTGAAACCCCAGGGTGTGGTGAGTGAGAGCGAAGAGAAAGGGGGCTTGAAAACCATGGGGTATTTCCAACTTGGGGCAGTTGGGGGGGGAGAGGGCCTACAGCAACTGGAAGGGTAAGGAAGTTGAGGGACAAAGACCGGGGGCTGCAAAGACCACTGTAAGTTGAGTTAGAGGTGAAAGAGGGCCTGAAACTCCCCAGGTATAGTGAGTGAGGGGCAATGGAGGGGGGCTGCTGCAACTGCGAGGGTAACTTAGCTGAGGGCAAAGACCGGGGGCTGCAACCACCACTGTAAGTTAGAGGGGGCGGATAGAGGGAGCGGATAGAGGGAGCAGATTGAGGGGGCCTGAAACCCCCGGAGTATGTTGAGGGTTTTAGGGAGGAGAGAGGTGGCCTGAAACCCCCGAGTTACTCGGCCATGAGGCGGGTTGCTTGGCCATGAGGCGAGTTTCTCGGCCATGAGGCGAGCTACTCGGCCATGAGGCGAGTTACTCGGCCATGAGACGATTTTCTCTGCCATGAGGCGAGCTACTCGGCCATGAGGCGAGCTACTCGGCCATGAGGCGAGTTGCTCGACCATGAGGCGAGTTGTTCGGCCATGGGGTCAGTAGCTTGGCCATGGGGTCAGTAGCTGGGCCATGGGGTCAGTAGCTGGGCCATGGGGTCAGTAGCTTGGCCATGGGGTCAGTAGCTGGGCCATGGGGTCAGTAGCTTGGCCATGGGTCAGTAGCTTGGCCATGGGGTCAGTAGCTGGGCCATGGGGTCAGTAGCTTGGCCATGGGGTCAGTAGCTGGGCCATGGGGTCAGTAGCATGGCTATGGGGTCAGTAGCTGGGCCATGGGGTCAGTAGCTTGGCCATGGGGTCAGTAGCTTGGCCATGGGGTCAGTAGCTGGGCCATGGGGTCAGTAGCTTGGCCATGGGGTCAGTAGCTGGGCCATTGGGTCAGTAGCTTGGCCATGGGGTCAGTAGCTGGGCCATGGGGTCAGTAGCTTGGCCATGGGGTCAGTAGCTGGGCCATGGGGTCAGTAGCTTGGCCATGGGGTCAGTAGCTTGGCCATGGGGTCAGTAGCTGGGCCATGGGATCAGTAGCTTGGCCATGGGGTCAGTAGCTTGGCCATGGGGTCAGTAGCTGGGCCATGGGGTCAGTAGCTTGGCCATGGGGTCAGTAGCTTGGCCATGGGGTCAGTAGCTTGGCCATGGGGTCAGTAGCTGGGCCATGGGATCAGTAGCTTGGCCATGGGGTCAGTAGCTGGGCCATGGGGTCAGTAGCTTGGCCATGGGGTCAGTAGCTTGGCCATGGGGTCAGTAGCTTGGCCATGGGGTCAGTAGCTGGGCCATGGGGTCAGTAGCTTGGCCATGGGATCAGTAGCTTGGCCATGGGGTCAGTAGCTGGGCCATTGGGTCAGTAGCTTGGCCATGGGGTCAGTAGCTGGGCCATGGGGTCAGTAGCTTGGCCATGGGGTCAGTAGCTTGGCCATGGGGTCAGTAGCTTGGCCATGGGGTCAGTAGCTGGGCCATGGGGTCAGTAGCTTGGCCATGGGGTCAGTAGCTTGGCCATGGGGTCAGTAGCTGGGCCATGGGGTCAGTAGCTTGGCCATGGGGTCAGTAGCTTGGCCAAGGTACAAGGTGAGGCAAGGGAGGGGGTTTCAGACCTCAAGTAACAAGCTGAGGGAAGGGAGGGGGTCTGAGACCCCAAGTTGAACGGTGAGGCAAGGGAGGGGGTTTCAGACTTCAAATTAGAAGGTGAGAGAAAGGAGGGGGTCTGAGACCCCAAGGAAAATGGTGAGGCAAGGGAGGGGGTCTGAGACCCCGTGTAAGACGGTGAGGCAAGGGAGGGGGTTTCATACCTCAAGTAAAACGGTGAGCCAAGGGAGGGGGTTTCAGACCTCAAGTGAAACGGTGAGGCAAGGGAGGGGGTTTTTACCCCAGGTAAAACGGTGAGGCAATGGAGGGGATTTTTACCCCAAGTAAAACGGTGAGGCAAGGGAGGGGTTTTCAGACCTCAAGTAACAAGGTGAGGGAAGGGAGGCTGTCTGACACCCCAAGTTGAAAGGTGAGGCAAGGGAGGGGTCTGAGAACCCAAGTAAAAAGGTGAGGCAAGGGAAGGGGTTTCAGACCCAAGTAACAACGTGAGGCAAGGGAGGGGGTCTGAGTCCCCAAGTAAAAAGGTGAGGCTAGGGAGGGGGTCTGAGACCCCAAGTACAAGGTGAGGCAAGGAGAGGGGGATTCAGAGCGCATGGTGGTGAGGCGATGCAGGTGGTGGTGCGACCCTGGGATGTCCGATCTGTTGGGGTGGTGGTGATGGCATGGGCACATGCTGCTGGTGCTGCATGTGTGTGGTGTGGGGGCAAGGGCCAAACCATGATGCTGCATGTGTGTGGTGTGGGGGCACGGGCCAAACCATGATGCTGCATGTGTGTGGTGTGTGGGTACGGGCCAAACCATGATGCTGCATGTGTGGTGTGTGGGGGCACGGGCCAAACCATGATGCTGCATGTGTGTGGTGTGGGAGCAAGGGCCAAACCATGATGCTGCATGTGTGTGGTGTGGGGGCACGGGCCAAACCATGATGCTGCATGTGTGTGGTGTGGGGGCACGGGCCAAACCATGATGCTACATGTGTGTGGTGTGCAAGCACGGGCCAAACCATGATGCTGCATGGAGTGCCGGGTGTTCCCCTTGCTGTCATGGTCTGCACGGAACAATTGTTTATGCGTTACACGATAATTAGGGTGTATATTTTGTTCATGAATTGTTGGCAGAGGCTCCTCTGCCTAACATCCGCAAACAAATTGATCAGTTAGCACATCGTATGCCTTTGTCTTTGTCAAGTTCTGCTTCTTACATTACCAACCAATCCAATAATTTCTGGCATGAATATGCCTGACAATAGAGCAACTTCAGTTTCACTGTCACACCCTCAAATGTGTTGTGATAAAATCGTTTTCAAATTCTTTCAAAATGGAGGGTTGTTTTCGAGCTTGTACCAGGGGAGCGGGCCTTCAAATAATCTGGTGTGCTAACAAAAAATGAGCCGTGTCTTCTGCCTAACATCCTTGCCCTGAGTGGGTTGGATCATCAATGGCGGCAGCGGCTCCGAACGACAGTGGGAACAAGATCCACCACCACCTGCAAACACAGAACAGGCTGCGTCAGATTCTAGGGATAACTACCACAGGTGACCAACGAAGGGCTGGTAAAACTGCCTTGTAGCACAGGTAGCTTTGCATAACTGAATTTTAAAAACACCAATGAGCTTAGGAGCTCAGCTAGTCTCTAGGGTAAGACTCACCCGACCATCATAGGAGAGGGAGGCAAACACCCAGGGGTCTATGGCACTCCACGTGATGCCTGGTGGGGGAGGGTCCACAATAGGTCCATGAAAGTCGATGGGCGTGAGGGAGGGATTCCACACCACAAGCAGGGCCATAAAATAAACAACAAAAAAAAACCACAACCATGCCAGGCTGCCTGCCGGTTCTCAGGGAATCTTGAAACACTCACCATAGACGCTGTCCTCGTAGTCTGTGAAGCTGACTGCCAGCTCATCCAAGGGGCCCCTGGGAGACCCCCCTGCTGCTGCCACTGCTGCTGCTCTTCCCGAGCCTGCCGGGTTAGGTATGGAGCGCAGGTGGTCGGCCAAGGCTGCTGCCGAGGCAGAAGGCACGTGCCACAGGTTGACTGCTGAGTCGGTGCCGCTGCTCTGAAGGATGAAGGGGAAAAAATGGGAAGTTTAGCAATAGCTGGAAAAGCTCCAGGAAGCAAGGATGCGAATCATGCTTACTACCTGCTCTCACCAATGCGTACTGGGAGCGTGGCAAAGCTGGGATTGCAAATAACGTGGCAAAGACGGAAGCGACAATGGGTGGTGGGAGAATGGCACTGACCAGCAGGAGCTCATCGTAGAATCGGTTGTAGCGCACACTGCACGTCCTGCAGTGATACCAGGGAAAACGGAAAGCACACGGACGCGACATGATGAAGCAAACACACAGACGACTTTGGAGAGAGTAGAACGAAAGGAAGGAAAAAGAACACAGGCAGGCGAGACACGCGCAATACCATGCATTTCCGGGGTACTCAAGCACAAAAATCCATCAGAATTCATCCATACCAGCGGGAGTAGTCCGTACCAATGGGTGTGAGCGATGTGATTCCTACCAGTGGGAGTGGCCCGGCAGCTCCACAATAGCTTGCTTGGTGGACCGCAGATCCCACAGGCGAAGGCGGGAGTCGTCCCCAGCTGATGTGGTTTACCTACCTACCGTGCACCGAGGCATAACCAAGGTAAAGCTAGCAGGTATGGTCCGTACCAGTGGGAGTGGCCTGGCAGCTCCACGATAGCTTGCTTGGTGGACCGCAGATCCCACAGGCGAATGCGCGAGTCATCCCCAGCTGACGCCAGGATGTGCGGGTGGTTGGGGTTGAAATCGATGTCTCGGATCTGCAGGTGGTGCGCGCCCTCTATGCTCGCTGTCTTGCTGCAAAAAAGAAGAGATAAATGCGGGCATAGGGAGCACATGCACAGGAAGCAAAAAGGAGCGATATATAAGGAGCCTTTTCGAATTTGCAGGTGGTGCACATCGTCTATGCTCTCTGTTTTGCTGGAGTTGGAGTGGAGACAAGAATCAACATGGTCAAAAGAAGAGGCAATGCCATCCATCCATGTGAAGCTTGCTCGGATTGACAAAATTCCGTGTCAGCTGCAGGTGATGCGGCCACCTTATGCTTGTTGTCTTGCCATCATAAATAATCAGCTCAGCACCCACGAGCCCATCCTGAATCTGCAACCATGGGGCTGTATTGATCTGCAGCCATGGGACTTCATGCGCCTTTACTGAATTTGCAGCTATGGGCCTTAGTCAAATCTGCAGCCATGGGGCTTGATAGGATTTCCAGCCATGGGGCTTTATTGAATCTG